CTGGCGTTAATAAATCACCGGCTCCTAATGCAGGGCCAAAAAAGCAATGGAAAGGCAGTGAGCATTGTAAAGGAAAAGTCATGGGCGAATTTCTCTATGACTCATTAGTCTGAACGATTTATGTACGAACTTAAAGTGCCGCAATGAATATTAGAGTTTGGGATAACAACAAATTAAAAAAAAAATGTCATAGCGTTTGTAAAGTGCTTTATTGCTACTTAGCAACTCTTTCAAGAAGAAGCATAGTTTAAAGGACTGTGGCAGTGTAAAATATGGTGGTGTGACTTAATAGCTCCAAAATAAATAACAGAAACTCGCTGGCACCGTTTTCAGATACACACTCCATATTTAACACGAGTGGGGCAATACAGTCACGGCGTGCTTGATCAATGTTTATTGCCGCTTGTAACATGACTATTGATTAGGGATCAAAACGGCTAAGGTATGAGCTGGAGCCTAAAATGCCAGGGGGGTTCCCTCTGCTCCGGAGCTGAGCGGAGAGCAAGGTAGAGCTAAGGACAACGCCAGGCAACAGCGCCCGTGCTCAGAGATCGCAGATTGAACTTTCCATTTTCTTTTGTGTTTGCCAGTAGATTTTAACAGTCAGCGCTCTGAAATTTATGAGACGGCAATAAACAGCTTAGTAGGCTATTATTGCATGATTTTATGTAGACTGGAGTTCAACACCAAATTTAAAATTATTAGAGTAATTACGGAACTACTAAATTACCAAAGCAAAGTATCTGCTCGAAAAGTTCTCCCAAGACAGACTTAATATTTCCAAAGCTCAGATGACATCCTTCCACGAGAACTGTATTATTTAATTATTAGCATTTACATTTACTGACAATTTTAAGATGCGTTAGATGGCTTTTATTAGCGAGAATGAATACAGGGGGTACGTTATTATATCTGACAAATTCAGTATGTAAACGTGATTCAGTAAGTGGCATCCGAATAATCTGACTATTGTCTTTTTGGATTGTGCAATATTGTTTGTTTTAGGGGAAGAGAGACTGTCCAGTTTTCCACCCCCCTTCAATGGCTTTCAGTGTATTTTTTTTTTTTTTTAAGGAAAGTTTCGGGCCCGATGCTGTTTCAGTGAAGTCAACTGTTAGTCTCTTATTGCGCTGGTGGTGCCAGGATCGGGCCCTGGCTAACTGTTTGAATAAAAGCCCAACCACAATACTCCCCGCATTAGAACTGGAACTCTTTCCGCGTTTTATTCAACAGAGATGAACACCACTAGTTGTGTTTAATGTCTGTTCTTGATTAAATGATCCTAAACAAAGGTTTCCCAGAGGAAAATAAAGCAGACATTCATGTAACAAGAGTTTGGAATGACAATATTTCCAAACACTTGGAGACAGAAGGCATAGCTGTCTACGGGAAAGAGGAAAAAAAAAAAAAAAAAAAGAAAGAAGGGAAAAAAAAAAAAAAAAAAAGCCTCCCTCTTTTATTTCTCAGATAGCAGCGCTCCTCGCCCCGCTTCGCCTCGGACCCGCGCCCGCTCCGGCCGTGCCCGCCCGGCGCCGGGGCTCTCCCGGCGAGCCCGGTGTCGCCTATGAGTGAGCGGCTACCTCCCCCTGCGCTCCCCGTTAAGGCGTTGTTTGTTGCTTGTTTTCAGAGAGCCCGGGCACCCAGGAAAGCCGGTCCGGGCGGGCGGCGGCAGCCGGGAGAGCCTCAGCCCCAGTCTTCGCGGTGGGACGAGGTAAGAGCCTCGGGGGTTGGGGGGCGAGGGAGACGCTGCCCCGTACCTGCGCGCAGGGAAAAGCCCCCCGGAGTCGGGCTTTGGTGTGATAAATATTTAACCCAGCCGGGATTTTTCTGGATTGGCTCTATTCATCTTCCGCGGCTGGTGAATGCGCGTGTCCGGGCAGACAAAGAAGCGTGCGGGACCTGAGTGATAGCCGGCCTTATAAAGGGGACAGGAAGGATGCAAGTCATTGGAAGAGCCAAAGAGGTTGAGAATGCCTTTGTCCCTTCTTAGCTCCTTCCCAAATCAAAGGGCGAGGGAGATAGCGGGAGGCATGGCTGTGCGGGATGGCTCGGCGCTGCTTGCTGCCTCCTGCTCGAGGAGCGGTGCCGCCAGCCCTGCGCGCTTGGCGACGGGAAAAGGTTGAGTTCAGGTGGCGACCCTAGAAAAACCTGCCTTTTGTCTGAGTGCACGCACCAGAATGGACCGCAGATAAGTTTCAGGTATTTGTCCGTCCCGGCCTGCCTCGCCCCGGCCGTGGGGTGGTGGCTGGTGCCTGCCTCCTGGATGCGGTTGTTCCGCTGGCAGGAGGAACGCGATGCTTCTCATAGCGAGCATTTGCTAGAGCCAGCCTCAGAGGAGGGAGGATTACAGAGAATTAGCTTAAATTCCTGCTAGATTTACCTGCTTATTTTTGGACGCTGATGTACAATTAGTATATTTTACTACCTTTTAAAAGCGGCCATAAATTACAGGACTACAAGGGCTCTTTGTGTTGGCTTAATGGGCTGCTTAAATCTTAACTACAAAAAGGCGCTGCAAATGTCTGTTCACGCTTACGTTAGGAAATTAAAAGGGAGAACACGCTACGAAGGAACCTTCCTCCGGTGGCATGCGTCCACGGTATTTCGTGCAGAGATATTTGGGATTCCTAAACTGACCCAGCGCTCCCAGCCTCAGCTGACTCCCAGCAGAACTTCTTCCACGAGGGCAGAGTCGATAGCTCTACTCTTTATCTGCTTCGAAGTGATCAAAGAGCAACTTTATCTCTATCAGACGCACAGATGTAGGTAAACAGTTCTGCATCCCAGCAGATTTCCAGTCTTTCGAGGAAGCAAGAAAATAAATGCTTGTGTCGTATGGTCATTCCTATGTCTTCTCCACATGGGAGTGACACCTTACCTCTTAACAACTGGCATAAACGTAAACATGAAAGAAGGCAAAAATCCTAAATCTAATTGTATTGAAGGTAACTTTAAATAGCATTAGTGCTAAGAGTGGCTATTAGTGCCAGAGCTCGCACAAAGGCTTTCGCCTAATGAATGTACTTTATGAACCCAGATCTGTTTGTTGTTACTGAGCTTGGAATTTCAGCTCAGCTCGAAGCCATGTGTATAAAGTGCAGAAAAATCAGAAGCAGACCTACTGATAAACTCCACATTTATTTTTTTTTTTCTCTTAGAAACCTTGTTTCAGGTCTCCAAATCATCGAGGTAATAAAACACAATGTTGAATGTCCAGGAAGAGGAACAAAGCAATATAGGGGTTGGCGGGGGAAATCTAGCGTCTGCTACTTACAAGATCATTTGAATTCGTATTTGAAAACTCATAATCATAGTACTAGAGCAAAGAAAGCTTTTTCCAAATTCGGCGGAAGGGAATCACTTTCAGCTGCGACCCAGGACAGTGTAAAGTTAGGAAGACTCCCCCTTCAGCCCTCCCAAAGTACACCCTGTGTAAGGTATTCACTCGTCAAGAAGTTACTTTTCTTAAGAATTAATTAGTTTCCCCGCTACATACACGAAGTTAATTGTTAAACAGTAGTTTTAGCATTAACTTGACCATTAATACTAATAAAGATGTTCATAGAAACAGGGGTTTGAAGCCAATAGCCATAGCTAGCGTTAAGGCATTTAAGCTGACTTATGATTGTGATTTATTGCTTTTGTAGTTTCTATTTGCTCAGGACTGCAACTTCTAAAGCCATCTTTCTGCTTTTGACGCAAAGCAGTCGATAACTTTTTACAACAGACCCAAGAAAGTCTTGCTCTGCTTTTTTCAACATCTGCTCCGTTCCCCATTAATTTCGGTTTCATTGTTGCAGAAGAACTTTTCTCTGTGTTTCTTTTATGAGATCTAAACGCACTGGATTTAAAAGAGCCACGAATTCATCTCATCCAGTGAATAACAGTCTTGGTTTGTGTTTAGTGTGAGGGCAATGGAGTTCAAGTCGTGATGATAGTTGCAGCCTTAGACATGTTGTGTGTGGATAATACTCTCTTTCGTTCAGAGGTATATAATTTTTATTCCAGTTCTTAGTGAGGGGTAATATATGTATTTCCTGTCAGGAGCTCACTTCAATATGAAAAATTGCAAATTCTTCCTCTGTTGTAATGTCACGCTGACTTTGCTGCACTGTCCACTCATATACACTGTTACTGATGGGTTTAAATTCCAGTGGCCCACTTTTGCAGTCCAAGTGAGGGTAGGAAGACACGCCTGTAAGTGTAAAAGTTACCTTTAAAAAGAAATCGCCTTCCATTCTGTTCAAGGAAGTGCAGGTGAAACACTAAGAGGGGATATGCAGTTAGCTGAAAATTTTCTTCGAGCTTATGGGGGGTGGTGGAAAGATTTAGGATAAGGTATATACATCATGAAGCAAAATGCTGGACTCACAGAACTCGGTCAGAAACACGTTAAAAGCGTGAACTATCTGATTTTCTTTGACTCTAGCCAGAAAAGTTATGTGAGTTTAGGGTTTCTTTTGTTTGTTTAGCTTATTGTGTCAATAGCAAAAGTTAAACAATCTTGCAGGAAAGATGTAGTGTGTTCACACACAGGCTCGCGTGGTAGGCTGGCTCTGGGACCGAATAGAGCTTTGCTCTTTTTTTTTTTTTTTTTTTTTTTCTTATATATATATATATATATTATTATTTTCCCCCCCTTAGGCAGAGAGCTCCCCCTTCCCATTTTTTTTTTCATCGTTAGAAACCTATAATTTTGTGCATCACTCAAACTAGCTGTATAGGAAATGCGTAAGCACAGGTTTAACAGCAAGGTCCCAAAAGGTTTTGCAAAATTCAGAGGCACGCCAGTGAAGGAAGGTGTATTCTTCATAGTGTGTTACAAGGACAAAAATCAACTAGCCTCTTAGAAGAGACTCTTTTTTGCCTTTGTCAGGTAATTATAGGTCTTTTTAGTTTCTACAGGAGCCCTGATGTAGCGTGTGGGAGTTGAGCAAGCCCTGTACAATGGCAGGGTAAAGACGTCTGGGGGTGGGGGGAGGTTGGTGGTCGTCCCGTGTAGAAGGGGGCTGGAAATAATGGTATTAGGGTTTGGGCTTTCTTCGGGGGGTTGCAGAGGACACGCGACGTGGAGCAGAGTGGCGGGCCTGGGGAGCAAATGCCGGTTAATTAGGCTAAGTAGCAAAGTGCAGAGTAATCCCATGTTACGAGAAGGATTCCTCTTACTTTCCAATGGGCTTTGTATAAAGAAATATTGATGTGGGAGGAAAAAGACTCAAACCAATCTCCCCCCTTAGTCAGCTACATCTCTTGATTTTTTTTTTTTTCTTCTTCCCTCCCTTAAAACTCTTCTTCAACATACCGGGCTAAGGCTTTAAAAAGCCAAGGCTCGCTCTAAGAAACCCTGTTCCTTCAATGATTCCCTATTTCAAATAAAAGGATTTAAGTTGACGTATGACCACGTGAGCACATAATACAGCGCATTATTGTGGCATTTGGAGTGGAGACCCGGTCTGGCTCCGTCTGCGATTACGCTTTTCCAGTTTCTGTTCAGAGCAAGCACTGCTTTCTATTATTTTTTTTTTTCCTGCCCCCATCACCGTCCCCGCAAGAGCTGGCCATTTCGCTGACAGCTTTCGTTCCTTATGGAAAGATTATTGTCGAGCCGAGAGGACGAAATGCTTCGTTAGAAAGGATGGATTTTATTTTAAGGTATTTCCGTTGATTGTTCATTTATGTGGTGAGTTATTGCTGTTCGAGGCAAAGGTCAGTAGAAAAGGCTGAAGCGAGTGCGTGTGTGTGCGTGCGTGTGTGTGCACCCGGAGCCAGGCTGCTTCCCCCTTTGTTTCAATTTGCTGCGGTAAATATTCAACTCTCCCCTCGCAGCGAGCGGAGCAGGGAGAGTTTGCTTCTTTATTTATTTTTCTCCATAGAGATCCCACACGGCTGTTGATGGCCAGCTGCCTCCGCTCCAGCCCCTCGATTGCCATGTTATCGTTATTTATGATCGGCTAGAGATGGGAAAGCCTCTTGTATTGTTTTCTTGCCGGGCTCCTTTTTTTTTTTTTTTAAATTAATTTTTAATTTTTAATTTTTAATTTTGATGTTTGTGTGTTTATTTCTGGATGTATTTGGGGAGGTCGGGGAGGACGGCGCGGGGGGGATGCTCCTCGGCTGGGGTCGCGCTCGAGTGTGCGGCGGTTGTTGTTTTATGTGTGTTTGTTCGGCCGCTGCCGCTCTGGAAATCGATGAGTATGCAATTGTGCTGCCATTTTATTTATGATGCTTTAGTGGTACTTTGTTTACCGGGAGCGGAGGGCTCAGCTCTGTGGCTTTCCCCTTTCCAAATGAGCCAGGGGCTCCTCTTTATTTCTCCTCGGTGAGAAGGAGCTGAACCAAGAGCCAGCCATGGCTACTAACAATAAATCAGCCTTGGAAATGTGGTGTTGATTTTTTTTTCCCCTCTGAACGGGGATCTGGAAAGCGAGAATAACAGGGATAGCAGTGGAAATTATCTTCTAGGATAACATATACTAGTCCTAAATTCATATTCGTACTGTCTTTTACATAAATATATACATATCCGTATGTATAAATATTTGAGTATATGCATGTATGTATAAATATGTCTATGTAATTACATTATAAGGAATGCACTTAAAATGACGAGTATTGAAGAATTACGTGGTTATCCAAGGAGGGCAAAGTGTTACGAAAAAAAAGACATTTCCCCGGTGGGTCCCGGCTTTGGGAAAGGTCACAGCGCCGAGGCTTTCTTTCCTCCAATTTGGTCAGCGCCTATTTCTGCTGTACCATTTTGTCCCCAGTTACCAGGTACTGGCAATTACTCGTCTTCTAAGGGGTCAGGGAGGGAGAGAGGTAGAAAAGAGAGGGATGAGAGACAAAACCCACTAAAAACAACCCCCAAAAAAAGGTATTTCCCCTTGAACCTATTCGTGGCCATTGTGCAGGGACCCTCAGGGCCGAGATGCTAGCGCTGATTTCTCGCTTTCTTGCTCCTTAAGCCGCTCTCAGGACAGAACTGACCCAAATATTCCCCTCTATTCCTCCCTATTTCCCCTTCAGACCATCCTGAAGCACGTTGTCCTTTATCAGACACAGCGTCTCTCTTACGCCAGGGAAGGAGAGCTGCTTTGCTCTTTTAGCATGTCTAAAAGCCGAGGTTGGCTTTGCCATGTTTTGAAATGGGCCAAAACGCGCCTCACAAATAAAATGTAAGCTTTAATTGCAGCTCGATTACTTGGCAGCGTTTCCTCTGATTTATGACCCAGTTCGGATGCATATTGACCCAGTTAAAACACTCATAAATAATACAGTCCTGCTCTGGAGCGAAAGAAAGCGAGGAGAGTTTTGTAGGAGTGGGGCATTTCGGCGGCTTGTGTAAATAACCTCAGTCCGCTGAGCAAATAGCGAATTGTCCATTGCGATTCTTTGCTGGTAGAGAACATAAACAATAATCGCGATTAACCACGTCTGCTTGGGCTGTCCGATAGCCCAGTCCTTCTGCTATCCCCTGCTAACTCCCTAACGCCTCGCAGAGACATCGCTTCCAGAATCTGTCCCGTTCTCCTGCAGCCTTGCCCTTTCATCCCTAAAAGCCTCCCCCATATCAACCTTGAATTATAGCGCTGGCCGCTCTTCGGAGCATCCCAGGATAAAGCGCTTTCCGGGCATTATTTTATTTGGAAACTAAGAATAACTCCACGAAGGCGGACAGTCCCGAAAACGAGACTTTTTGGAAGAAAACGCGGCTCGTTCCCGAGTCAGGAATCAGCCCCAAAGGCTCCCCGTCCCTCCCCGAGCAGAGCCCTATCGCTCCCTGCGGAATGTGGCAGAAAGAAAATATTCGGCCTCTGAGAGGGAAAGGCAGATAAAAGCAGCAGGAATCTGTGCGTTGGGACACTTATCCCTCCATCATAAGGCACATAAAAAAGAAATCATCTTCTCGTGTTTAAAATGACCTCTTTGGGGAGAGAGGGGGCGTGGGGAAACGGGACTAAGAGGCAAAGACTCTTTGCAGGCAGTGAGACGAAGGGAGGAAATACTTCAGTATTGCGAGGAACCACTTCGGTTCTTACAATTAAAGTCCCTTGCAAATCCCTCCAGTTTTAAAAAGCCCCCCTCCCCCTCCCCGTCCCCGCTTTTAAATACAGACATGCAGCCCGAATAGCCAGCTCCGACGGTTCAGTGCACTCCTAGGAAAAGATGGCACAAGCTTTCGGCAGCGCTCCCCAAACCGGCCCGGTCCCCGGCGTCCGCAGGTTTCTGCAGTCCTCGGTTCCCCCTTGGCCAAATCTCTCCTCTTTATCCCGGAGGGCTCCGTCGGGGCTCAGCGGTGCCTCTGGCTTTTTGGTCGGCAAACAGGGCGAATGGCGGCTCAGCAGTTTCAGAAGAAAGTGTGGGGTTGATTATTGACTAAAAAGACTTTTCTTCCGATGCAACATTCAAGGGGTTGTTTGAAGCAAAATGCATACGCGGGATTTTTGCCTCTCCTCTCCTCCTACGCTGCCCGCTTCCCCTTTCATGTGGTGCCTTCTCACTTATGCCATAAGGAGCAAGTGTTTTCTGTTTTAGTGCTCTGTTTACAGCTTTGGTGCATGAAGTCATAAATCTTGCATAGCCATAAATGACAAAAACCATTGGTATGCGTAAGAGGCCACCCCAGCCTTATAGTGCTTTTTATTTCTCGCTTCCCCCTCGCTTTGTTTGTGCTTTAAGATGACGCCGGGCTCCCTCGTGCTTTTAACGGACAAGTTTTATTTTTAATGCCTCCATTAACCAAGTAACGTCAAATTTACACCTAGGCACTCTGCGGAGCCCCCTCTTAGGGCGCGGAGCCCACAGTCCCTCATGCCTGGGGGGCAGCGGCTGCCACTTGCTTGAAGTTCCCGTGCGAGAGCCCGGCTTGCGCCCTCGCTCCCGGGTTTCTCTTGTAGGGAAAAAGGGGGGACACCGCCCCCCACAGCTTGGGGTGCTGGAAGAAGAAAGGCGAATGCCTTTCCCGGAGCTGCCGAGGAGCGGGAGGCGAGAGAGGGCTCCCACGGCCCCCCCTCCCCCGGGAGGCTGCGGGCACCCCGGGCCGCCTGTGCAGCACATGTGGGTGGGTGGGAGCGCCTCTGCGCCCGTCCCGGGCAATGGGGAGATTTGGGGGGGCGAGGGGGGTGTCCGGGCGTCCATCTGTGTGTGTGCGCGCTCACGCATGCATGAGTTAATAATTAGTAACTCTAATGATTTCCAGCGTGGCTCTGGAAGCATTGCCCAGAGCGGGGCTCCTGGTGGGCTTTGCTTGGCTCCCCGGACCCGGCTCTCCGGGCCTCTCCCCTCCCGGGCTTCGTGGGGCTCCCGGCGGCGGGGCTATTCCACGGCCGCCCCCAAACCCCACTCGTAAGAGGGACAAAACAAACAACCCCGCCACAGCAACCCCGGAGGCTGGTGAGAACGACCCTTTGTGAGCGCCGTTTGTCTTCATTAGCATAATTTTCCTGGACTTTGGTGACGCCCGGGTGCTGGGGGGGGCCGCACTCCTTCACTGCCACACTCCTCCGCTCCTTCCCCCAGCCCCCAGGCTTCCCCAGGCGGCCGCCTTTCTTTCTTCCTTCCTTTTTTTTTTTTTTTTTTAATTTGTCTTTTTTTTTTTTTTTCCCTATCCCCCCCCTCTTTTTCTTTTCCTCTCTCTCCTTCCCATCCCCGTCAGGCGCGGGGAGCAGCCCTGGGAAACGTCCCCGTCCTCCGGTGCCCCTCGCAGGGGGAGCCCGGGGACGGGCTGGGACAGGGTGGGCAGCGTGGAGCGGGAGGGGGCCAGGGGAGGCGGGTGCCCGGAGCAGCCGTCCCCATCCCTTGCGGGGCAGGGCTCGCCCCTCCCGGCCGGGTGCGGAGGAGCTGAGCCGGTGCCCATCCCGCAGCCGCAGGGACTTGGCTGGGGCAGCTAGTCCTTGCTCTCCCTGGGCTGTGTCGCCGAGCTTCCAAAAAAAAAAAAAAAAAAAAAAAAAAAGAGAGAGAGAGAGAGAGAGAGAGCATGCTGGCTTCCGCCTCAGTCGTCAGAAGTTAAGGTAAGCAGGCCACAAATACGCTGCTATCAGTCGTGAATGGCGGAGTTTATGTCCCAGTGATTTATGACCGTAGACTTAAATGTCGGTTCAAGAAGAGTTCACAAGCTGGGGCTTCCTTCCAGGCAGTGACTGATACCCTTACACTTCGTGTTCAGGCAGCTCTCTCTCCTCTCCCCCCAACCCCCCCCACCTTCTCTCAACTTTGTCTTTATCTTTCAGGAAATCTTTCGGGGGGGCTGCCTGTTTTTTTTTTTTTTCGTCCAGGAGTCAGAGTTTGGGGCTCGGCTGGGAGTTAGAGGGAAAAGATGTGGTGGTTTTAGGGACGGGCAAGGGGGAGGAAGGAGAGGGTAGGGGAGAGCTGAACTGAGGAGCGGGGGAGACGGGGGGGACATGCCTCCCCCAGGCAGCTTTCATCTGCTGTCTCCGGTCTGTCTGGCGGGGGGAGAGGTTGGTGAAGGGCAGAGAGGTGTATTGCGCAAATGGAGATGGAGCCGCTGAAACGGGCACTGGAAAATTTGGGGGCCCAGCTGTGTTGGCGAGAGCTGGCCTTTTGTCTTTGATGGGGGAGAGGAGAGCTCTTCCCATCCCAAGCACCAGTTTGGGTGGCAAACTTTCTCTCCCCCTCCTCTCCCGCTAGGGCGCTGTTATTATCGTGATCCCTGGCGCTATAAATCCCGCTAGTGCTCTTTTCGCGAGTAATGGCCGTGCGCTCCTCAGGTTACCCCGCTCCTTTATAACTTTGTAGGAAGTGATTAACTTTCGCAGCCAAAGGCGGGTGCCGATTTTCCTTTCCTGGCAGAGGGCCGAAGATTCACTAGCATTTTGCCTCCGAAGGGGAGCTGCCCATTGTTCGCGCTCGGGGCGAGCAGCTCTTCGCGGCGCTCAGCCCCCGGCGCGGTGCGGGGCTCGCCCCAACTTGGAGAGCCCAGGGAAGGGCGAAATATTTGATGTCGTGACCGTACAAGGCGAGTGCCTTTTGTAAAAAATCGCTGCTGGCTCCTCATTCTCTTCTGGCAGCGGTGCTCATTTTTTTTTTTTTTTTTTCGGAAGCAAAGGAATTGAGAAAAATCACAGCAGGCCCAGAAGATATCATTAGGAAAGGGAGGCGAGGAGCTGGAAATTGTGTGCGCGCCTCAGATCTCCATCGGCTTATTAGCTTAATAACATCCAGAGAGCTTGCTTAGTGCAATAATAGGGCAGCCGCCCTGCTGTAGGTGTGCTACCTTAATTTTGTTGTGTTATAACAAAGGGAATACTGTTTTCTAAGAACTTGTATAACTTGAAAGGCTTAGAATGAGATCGTTTGGTGTATGTGTTGTGTAAGACTTTTCGCCCCTAAGCATTTGTCGTCGTTAGATGTTTTTGGGGAAAATATCCAGCTGCTTAAGTGCAGGGGAAGTGGCAAAAGAAATGAGGGCTGATGTGACTCCCGAAAAGACGGAGTTGTTTGTCAGCAAGAGGATAGGGGGACAGTGAGCAACACATTTAATTTCTGGAACAATGTGTGTGCATGTGGAAAGAGCTGCTAGATCCGAAATTGCGCATAGGTCTCTGCTCTCATTAGTGCGGGCAATTCTTTAGCTGGTTATTTTCAGGCAGGTAAGTAGTAGAATTTAATTTGAAGAATAGCAGAGAGAACAGAAGGACTGGGGGGAAAAGAGAGGGAGGAGAAAGGGATTCGCCCGGGCAGGAGAAGCATTCTCTGGGTTTGTGTCCACCCTCTCCCCAGCCAAGTGACCCTCATACATCAAATTACATAGCAGTTTCCAAGACAGAACCTATTATCGCTAAGTTGGAAGGAAAGTTCAAGCCGTGGTCATGGAGATGAACGCTGGTTTTTCAGGTTCCTGTTTTTTTTTTTTTTTTTTTTTTTTTTTTTTTTTTTTTCCAATCCATCATGTTTTAACAGGTAGAATCTGGCTGATTCCACAAAAAGTTAGTGTCTTGAAAATAACAACAACAACAAAAATCACAAAAACCGAAACAACAACCTCCAAAGCGCCTAACTTGCCCCTGCTGGCCTTGCTGACAGGGCTTCGCATGGAGCTGGGTCCAGCTCAGTCTCCAGAGCCCCTCGCGGGTGGGAGCGGGCGTGGGGGCTGCGGGGGCAGGGCCGGGGGCTCCGGCCGTGCTCCGGGGCTGTGCGGGAGCCGCTGCGGGGTGGGTGCGGGGGCCTCGCCCGGGCAGGAACCGCTGCTGCCAGGGTGCTTGACCTGGGCGGCTGGAGGTGGTGTGCGAGCACGGAGGGGAGAAGGCGCTGGCTTTGTTTATTTTCCTATCGAGCGTTTCATAGACAAGCCAAAATCCGTCACTCGGGATCGGCGTGTGTAAATATTTCTGGCTAGAAAACCTTTCCACCCCTCTCCTGCCCCCTGCCACACGTAGACAGGAACAATTTCATGTATTTCTTTGACGTTGGATGGAGAGCCATAACCTGGAGAGAAAGGCTAAAAATAAAATGACGCCGGTTACAGGAGAGGGTTTGATCCTGGAGCTGGAATGAAGGCATAGCCCAGCCCCTTTGCATTAGCGATTCCTCGATCACCCTTATCTCAGAGACCGGTATTAAAACAGCCTCATGGTGATAAACGATCAACCCGTTTGCCGTGTGGTGCCCCGCTCTGTTTCTTAGGAAGAAAGAAAGGAAAAAAACCTAGAAAGCCCCTATCCCGGTGCAGCAAAGCACATATTTGTAGCTGCCAGTAAATCCAGGCAGCTTTTATATCGAAATGCTCTGTGCCTGAGGCCAAGTCATGCTGCTAAATATTGCTGACCACTTTTTCTTTTATGGCTTTCATGTCACTTAGCTATTGAAAGTAAGATGGATTTGTACCATTTCTTCACCCTGCTCTGCTCTCCCCACACCCCAGGTCTGCCCGGAGAGGCCATTGGAGGAAGAGTGCCACGTGACAGAGGGGTGCCAATGTTATTCTCCAAGGGTGTCAAGACCCTGTCAGTTTGCGAAATAAATATTGGGAAACAACGAAATGCAAAAAGCGACCTACTACGACAGCTCTGCAATCTATGGTGCCTACCCCTACCAAGGAGCAAATGGTTTCACTTATAATGCGAGTCAGCAGCAATATCCTCCGTCTTCGTCACTTGTGGAAACTGAGTACCACCGCCCCGCGTGCTCCCTCCAGTCCCCTGGCAGCTCCGTGTCCCACCACAAGGCCAATGACATCAGTGAGAGTTGCATGAGGACCCTCCCCAGCCAACCTCTCCAGCCCCCCGGCCTCGCGGACCCGCAGGCCCCACCGCAGCCGCCTCCGGCCCAGCAGGCACAGCCTCCTCCACCTCCGTCCTCCGCCTCGCCATCTCAAAATGCCAGCAGCAACACTGCCCCGGCCAACCCCACCAAGAGCCCGGCTCTTAACTCGCCCACCATGTCCAAACAGATATTCCCGTGGATGAAAGAGTCTCGGCAAAACACAAAGCAGAAAAACAGCAGTTCCAGTTCAGGTATGAACCATGCTCCCCTGCTCCCTGGGTGTCCCCTGGGCTAGCCACGTGTCCTGTGGGGAGGAGGGCAGCCCTGGCCACCTTCACTACGGGGAGGGAAGGGAGGGGTACTTTTTTCCTCTCTGAGCTGACCCCCTTGGGCTTTTGGAGAGGAGCTTCTGCTGCTTGCAGTGGGAGCTCAGTGAGCGATCACCCCCCTGGGAAACTTTCCCAGACTTGCAGGATGGATCCGAAGTGATCCAGTTTCCTTGCGGCTCAAGTACTTGTGCCCTCCTGTGTCTATCGCATTTCGTAGGTAATCCCCACTCCAGTAAATCATGTCAGTGCGGAGCAGCCCAGGCCTTAAGCCAGAGGCCCATCCCAAGTACTTTGTTGGCACAGTGCTGCTAGATTAATAAGACAGTGACCTATCTCTGCTGAAGTGTAACACAAATAAAATAGCTCATAATCATGTGCTAGTCAGGATCAATGCCCTGCACGCAGTCAGAACCTCTTCCTATTTTAACAGGCTGATTGGCAAAGTTACAAGCCTGGTAAACAAAAATCTTCTGTAGTGCCATAAACTTAAGCCCATAAAATATTATTTGAGGGATGGAAGTGTATATTAACACTTTTATTACTCAAGGAAACCCAAATCGATAACACCAGTGCTAGCTCCAATGCCCAGGAGTTGTGTTTATATTAACCTCTTCCTCTTCTTCTCTTAAACATGCCTTGGAAATAGAGTCCAAAACTTTAGCAAATGTCTTCTCCAGTGCGCTTTTTAGAGCTCTGGTAACACTGCTGTTTACAGCCTTCCATATCATGTATTTATTTTATTAAAAAGCAATAACATTTAAATATGTCTGTACGCCTTTATGCAAGCATAGCCACCGTATGTTCTTATGTGCATTATACTTCCCAATTACTACCATATGTTTATGCTAGATGTCCTAGAAACAGTATACTGTCAGTTTTATATGTTATAACTTTATATGTGGATACCTGACCTGCAAACTTCTGTAGCTGATGTGTATACATCAGGGTTTTCAGAAAAAGAGGGCTGCAGATCTTCACAGTAGTGAAGAAGACAGGTAGTAGTTGAAGAGCTGCTTGAGCCTGGTATGTCAGCAAAGCCATAGATTCACCTTCTGAGTTTCTAAAACTTTCAGCTTTATTTCTCTGAACCTCTCTTATTCTTTTATGCAGTTTTCATGTTATGTTGCATGCTGTCATTCTTACAGGGAGCAAGGATAGCCATATAGTGATGTTAACGAGGTGAAGAAAATCTACTGAGGCTTGTAGATTGGCATGACTGAGCTCATGCCAGGGCAAGTACTCATCACACATGTGGGCATCTCATGGCCAAGAGCTGGACCGTGCAGGTGCTGGTGTTGTAGGGTGCTGTCTGTGGTTGCTCTGTCCAGGTTCACCATCTGATTGTGTTCTTTGTGTGATTTGCATAGGTGAGAGTTGTGCTGGTGATAAAAGCCCTCCAGGGCAAGCCTCCTCTAAGCGAGCCCGTACAGCTTACACAAGTGCCCAGCTGGTAGAACTGGAAAAGGAGTTCCACTTCAATAGATACCTTTGCAGGCCACGAAGGGTAGAGATGGCCAATTTGCTCAATCTCACAGAAAGACAGATCAAAATCTGGTTTCAGAACCGCAGGATGAAATACAAAAAGGATCAAAAGGGCAAGGGCATGATGACCTCTTCAGGAGGACAGTCCCCAAGCAGAAGCCCTGTCCCTCCAGCCGCGGGGGGATATCTAAACTCTATGCATTCTTTAGTAAACAGTGTCCCCTACGAGCCCCAGTCGCCTCCGCCATTTAACAAGCCTCATCAAAACACCTATGGCATCCCTGCATCGTATACTGCTCCTATTAATAATTGCCCACCTCCTCAAAAGAGATACACGGGGACAGCAGCTGTGACACCTGAATACGATACTCATCCTCTTCAAGGCAACGGTTATGGGAATCCACATATACAGGGAAGCCCCGTCTACGTAGGGGGCAACTACGTGGAGACCATGACCAATTCTGGGCCTTCCATCTTTGGTCTAACTCATCTCCCTCATCCTCCCTCTGCCAACATGGACTACAGCGGGGCTGGGCCAATGGGCAACAATCACCACCACGGACCTTGCGATCCGCACCCGACATACACAGACCTTACCGCTCACCATCCTTCTCAGGGAAGAATTCAGGAAGCGCCCAAACTCACCCATCTGTAAGAGACAGGAGTCACTAAGTGGAACACGAAGCCCCCAACTTTTTAGAAGTACTCACCCCTTCCTCTCTCTTTCTCCTCCCTGCCATGTGCCCTCCCCTCTCTTTCTTCTTTCTTTTGTTCGTTTTAGTTTGTTTTGTTTCCTTTGGTAAGAGCGTTTTCTAGTTTATGTGACGTAGCAATATTTGTTGCTTGAATTGCTCTATAGTTTCACTAGTGGATATTTATCTTCTTGAACTGTAGCCTTGTGTCTCACTTTGGGAGTATACATAGGCTTTATACTTTACCTTCTACACTTTTATCAAAACAGGGTATATGAACAAATTTTCTATAAAAGGAATTCTTAAATGTGAATTTGTTCGTACATGATTGATCCCACGGGGAAGCAATTTTTTTTATTGCACTTCTTTTAAATAGCGAGAAAGACATCAAAAGCGCTTGGACAGGGACTCCCTGGACAATTATTAATACGTGTAAGTCTTTCAATGTGTGTATGCTGGTGAACATTCAGATTTATTTATATTTTTTTTTGCAAACATTGAATAATCTAAGTGTTTAAAATTTTATTTATCCCCATTTGTTCATATTTATATATATATAAAAAATCTGTACCCTGAATATTCAGGAGGTATTTACCTGGCCATACATTAGATGGCATATCGGCACGCGTAGGAAATATCATTTGAAAGGAAACTATAACTCCTTTATTCAAAATGATGATAACGATGATGATGACGATGCAATAAAATCTGGGAAAAAAAAAAAAAAAGATCACAGTTTGAATAATTTATGCTTGTAACATCCAGCTAGGCGGAAAGCGTGTAAAGCTGAAAAGGCTAGATTTGTTTTGAAAGTTATACATTCCTTGCTGCTCACGTTCTGAAAAAAAATAAAGTTTTTATTCTGAATAATAAAGAGTTAAGAACATGTTATTTGCAGTGGAAGGGCAGGGAGAGCCCTTCATGACGTGGGGAGCCGGTAACTCGTCTGGAAGCTCACACGAGGACCGGCTCTCCCCCCCGAACGGCTCCGTAGCGCCTTTTCAGCGTTGTAGCGATAGAGAGAGGGATGGTGGATTTTTTCCTTTTTTTTTTTTTTTTTTCATTTTTTTCATTCCTTTTTTTTTTTTTTTTTTTTTTTTCCCCATCGGGGTTTCACAGCCGCCAGCGGCTGCATCCTTCCCCCCTCCCCCCGCGCCCCTCCGCGGCCCAGCCGGGGGGACGGGGCATGGGTGCGCGCACGCGTGGGTGTGCACGCGCGTGTGCGCGGGGGCGAGCCCACGGGCGTGGAGGAACAGAGCCAGGCGCGGGCATGGAGGGACCGCTTAATGCCCGGGCTCCCTGCGGGGGGAAGGAAGGAGGGGAGCCGGGCGGCGGCTGAGCCCCGCCGGCTCTGGGCAGCGGGGGTGCCTGAGCCCCCCTAGGCAAACCCCAAAGGCGGCTGGGAGGGGGGCTGCCGGGCGCAGCTGCCTCTGGACACCTCTCCTCCCCCCTGCCGTTTTTCTTCTTTTCCTAAAGCGAGCAGCTTCTCTCTTTTCTCTTTTTTTTTTTTTTTTTTTTAAATTTTTTTTCCTTTTTATTTTTGATTTGATGCTGGGGTCCTTTCCCTTCTCCCCAGCCTCCTCCCCTCCCCGCTGCAGCCTGAAGCAGTGGGGGAGGGGAGCCCCGCTCTCCCTGCCCCCCCCCTCCCACTCCATCCTTGCCCCCCCGCGGGGGTGTGCGTGTGTGCGTGCGTGTGTTAGGGGGTGTGTGTGGGGTGCACACCGGGCTGCGGGAGGGCCACTGGCCCCAAACGGGCACCCCCGGGGTCTCCGGGCCGAATCGGTCCAAGGGGGATGGCAGGGACTGGAAACGTGGGTTTAAATCCCATCTTTCTTCCTTTTCAGGCCAAATGTCCGTAATTTTTAGATCGAAACTTGAAAGATAAATCAAAAGGGACCTTAATAGACTAGGTAAAATATACCCGTGCACGTTTATAAAGACATATTCCTACGCTGTGTAGATAACAACGCACGCTGTTTACCATCTGTATCTTCCAGAGCACAGAAAAAATGTCGCCATTTTGGTCTCATGCTGAAATATTATTAATCTTTGGGCTTTATCTTGTTCCCAGAGCCATCCTTGCCTGATGCTGAAACATTGTCATGCATCCACGAAGCTATATAGAGCTTTTCTGCATAAATAGATAAAGCATGCTCAGTCAAAGAAAGGGATTGTAAATATATTTATGCCGTGCGGTTTATTACATAGAGAGATATGTAACCATGGAAGGGAGGCTTATTTAGTCTGATATTTTTCATTGAAACATGGTTATTACCCAATACAGACCAACGACTGATGATTATTTTGTAGGAGAAAATGTTTTTTTTTGCCACGTTACAAGACATGGCTCCTTTCAAATAAGCGCACATACATAAAATTCAACACCCCCCCTCCCCGCCCCGATAAGCTGCGTTAGATAAAACAAAAGGTAACGGTACAGCCGGTGAATTCCTAACGTGTGGCTACTTTAGCAGCAATAATAACATTTCTGAAAATGTTCAAGAGAAGGAATTTGGCGTTTTTTCCCCCTCCCACTCCGAAGAAAGAAAAATACAGGCGATTTTGCCCCTTCTTTCCAGAAACCGTTCCTTACCCCATCTTCAGAGGCTTTACGTTACCAGTAAGAATTTGTATTTTTGCATTTAAGATTCTCCCGATTAAAAGATCCCTCTGGAGGCAGAAGTAATTGATTTGCCCAAGAATTTCGCGTCCCCTCTCCAAAGGTTTTGTTCCAGGTGGTTTTTGTATTAGAATGACCACAAGAAACAAATGTGCAGAATAGAGACACCCACGCAGGTTTTTACTCACAAAGCCTGGTTAAAGTCCAAACCTCTCTCTTTATTATTTGCCATCCTGCTGTTAATCCCAATATTTTCCAGAAAAAAAAAATAAAATAAAGAAAATAAAAATAAAAGAAAAGCCCGACCCCAAGGTAGGCGCAGAGAAGCAAAATAAAACCGGGCTTTCCCACAAGCAGAGCAGTCCTCTGCCAGCATATTTTAAAAGCAGCTTTTTTCCTTGTTTACTCGCGTTTCTTGCTCTGCCTCTTTTCTCGGCCACATTTGATCTTGGAAAGAGCAAGAAGCTTTAAATGTGTTCTTAAGGGCCAGTAGCTGTCAAACCTTTTGGCGGCCAAGATTGATCGCGCGCAGACACCACCAGAGCTTTGTTTGGACTAAAAGCAAGAAAATTAAACCCCTCGCATTTTCCAACAGCATCGATATTTGTAAGGCATCCCTTTTGAGGGATTAAATGACAAGTCTCGTTCTATATTTTATTTAAACAAGCAACCACCAAAAAGCCCATTTAAAGCCTTCCAGCCCCTCCCCTCCCCCTCTCTCCAATGCCTTCGCAGATATGCTACATCTTGTGGGTGCATTAACTTAAAACCGATTTTTAAAATGCACTTCGTGCAGTCTGGACGGAGACTGATCCGCTGAATGCTTGGGGGTCTTCTTTTCTTTTTTTCCTTCTTCTGCTTCTTCTTCTTTATTTTATTATAATTATTATTATTTTTAAATACGAAGACGCTTGCCGACCCCTTTTTGGCAACTCCGAAAATAAAGAGAGACGGCAACGCATCGCGCAGGCGATGGTCCCCGGCTGCTCGAGGACACGGAGACCGGCTCGGATGTTCCTTCCCCCGGCCCCCCCGGCCTCCCCCGGCCCCCCGGGCCCCCGGCCCGGCCCGGCTCCGCGGGAAGGCGAGCTCCGGCCCGGCTCTGACCGTAGGACTCATCGGGCTGGCTCCCATGGCCATCATTGTCATCGCTCGCCTCGGTCTGGTTGGAAAATTGTGCCCAAACCTTCCAAATTCGGGGCTCGACCTGGCAGAGGCAAATGGAAACGACGGCAGAGAGCCAAGCTTCGGAGGCGAGAGCCGTGCCTCAAGTTATCGCCCCCGCAGCATTTCTGCTCTGCCTGGCCCCGTGAAAACAAACCCGCTACCAGCCCATATATTTCCTGGTAATCGAAAATACTCACCAGACCCAGCCTACTACGGTTATTAAGCAAATTATGCCAGCAGACGGGAGTATCGTTTGCAAGCTAAGGCACAGGATTTTGGTCTTTTTTTTTTTTTTTTTTTTTTTTTTTTTTTTTTAAAGAGGCAACAGCCAGACGCTTTCGCAGCCTCGCGATTTGGCTCGCCCAGAGAGGTATTCCTAGGGTATGTTTTATGGTCCAATCCCGGGAAGCCAACTGGAGAGGGAAGTCACGAAGCGCAAGGGCTGCTGCCTATGTGACTCTTCCCCTAGAAGCAAGGTTGCTGAGGAAG